GAATAAGGAAGACTGTAGAAGAATTGATGCTTTTGAGTTATGGTGTTAGAGAAGAATATTGAAAGTGTCATGGGTTGCCAAAAGAACGAACAGATCTGTGCTTGTGTTCCTTGGAGGCCAGATGGCCAAACTTCGTCTCTCATACTTCGGACATATTGTCAGGAGGGACCAGTCGCTGGAGAAGGACGTTTGGTAAGGTGGAAGGTCAGAGAAAAAGAGGAAGATCCCCAGCGAAATGGATTAGCAAAGTGGCAGCATCAATGGGCTCAAGCGTGGCAACGATAGTGAGTTTAGCCCAGGATCGGGCAGTGTTTCGTTCTGCTGTGCATGGGGTCGCTATGAGTCGGTTCCGACTCAATGGCACCTGACAACAACAACAACAAAGATGAACAGCTTATAGATGCAAAGTTGCTGTGAGTCTCAATGATCTATATGGCAATGGATGGGTATCCCCCCTTATTGGAAATTTTTATCTTTATTAACCTTTCTAACTTTTTAGTGCCTTGAAGCACTTTGTCTAAAACATCTTGACTCTTGTGTTTCTCTGTGTTGCAAAATTCTTCGTTTTTGATCTTAAAGATTTCCGCCTCACTACTAGAGTCCTGGAGTTGGTTTGAACCAATGGCCTGTGGTTAGCAGTCCAGTGCTTATTCAAACCCTAAACAGAGTCGCTATGAGTAGGAGCCAACAGGACAGCCGCACTAACAATAACAAAGGTCAAATGTAAATGACCCTTCAGAGATCTACGCCGATTTATCACTGCAAGTCTATTTAAAAATTACTCTTAAGCATTTTTGTGGTCACCAGTAAACCCACGAAAGGAAACTAGCAGAGTCCGGGCGCCGTTGGCGTCCCGTTGCCACGGAGACGGACCATTCTATTCTTCCTCAAGGGGTGGCCTTGATTTTGTCTCCTCTCTCAATCCTCAGTGCTGTGTCCGGATGTCGCACTGAGAAGCCAAAGGGGATCAAGTAGGGCTTCAGAGCTCCTTGTAACAAAGTGGCGGCATGGGGTAAGTGCGCTCTTCTCTGGACCCGACCGGCGTTCGGCGCCCACCCCGGAGTCCAGGTGGTGCGGCCCGAGACAAGCGCTGGCACTTGTGGATGTCGAATTCGCCGCCCGACGCCTGGAAACGCGCTGGACTCAGACCGCCGGCAGTCTCCCCAGCGGCCCCCAGGATGCCTGAGGCTAAGACCGGTTTCCAAGAAGCCATGCGATGCAAGAAAAAGAAACAGCCAGCGCGCCGTACGGTCAGCCAGATCTGTCCACCTCCGCGGCGGCCCCTGACGGTGGCCGACATCCGGCCCGGCATGGAGAACGAGAGGCTGGGAGTAGTGAGGGATTCCATGTTTCAGAACCCGCTCATCGTCAAGGTGAGCCGCCCAGACTCCCACCGCCCCTTTGCGTTTGTACCCTCACCGGCACCCAAGCTGGCTGGGGCTTTTACCCAATGAGACTCGGAACCTCGAGGGACCCCGGGTCCTATTGCAGAGTTGGTAACTCCACCTCTGGTCTAGACTGGCCAGGACTCTGTGCGGTCACGGGCAAGTCGTGTTGCCTCTCTGAGCCTTAGTTTTCTTATCTTCAAGGTGGCATGACATCTCATACCCAGTGCCGTCGAGTCGATTTCAACTCCTAATCACTCATTTGTTGTTTTTTAAGTTCCATCCAGTCGGTTCCAACCTATAACGACACTGTACAGGGTTTCCAAGGAGGGACTGGTGAACTTGAAGAGCTTGAACCGCCAGCCTTGAGGTTCAAACCGACTTTGCAGTCCAGCGCATTAACCCTCCGCGCCACACCATGATTCCAGTCACTCACTTGTTGTTATTGTTAAGTGCCATCGAGTCGATTCCGACCCATAGAGACCCTGTATAGGGTTTCTGAGGAGCAGCTGGTGAGATTGAACTACCAACCTTGCAGTTCAAACGGCTTTGCAGCCTGGTGCATTAACCCTCAGCGCCACACCAGGATTCCAATCACCCACTTGTTTTTGTTAAGTGCTATCGCGTCTGTATAGGGTTTCCAAGGAGTAGCTGGTGAGCTTGAACCGCCGACCTTGCGGTTCAAACCGACTTTGCAGTCCAGCACATTAACCCACAGCGCCACACCAGGACTCCAATCACCCACTGTAAGTGAACTCACAGGTGACAAACCGGTCGTATATACCCAGTTTTCTCCCCTCCTCACAACTAACTGCCAACCTTCTCGGGGTTCAGGCTACCTCTTGCTTCTTCGTTTAACCTTACACGCCCAGGCTAACTATGTAGCAAGTGTTTAGGTCTCTGCGCTGAAAGTTTCGCTTTACAAGTTAATTTCCGCTCAAACAAGAATTTATCCAAATTACAACGTAAAAGGGGGAGGAGAGGAAGAGCAAATTTCTGCCCTGAGAAATTTCTGCCCTAAGAAACCCCGCAGGCACGACTGAACTGCAGCGTCTAACTAGATCACCTTTCCCTTGTATTGCATGTCCCTTACTTTAGCGCCTCCTTCCCCTCCTAGTGACCACCCAAGAAAGACTCAAGCGACTGTTCATGTCTTCCGATGGTCACAGAAAGTCAAAAGTGGCTTGGCAGGACTGTTATTGAGAGTCATGCAGCAAATTATCTTGTGCCACTGGAGGGCAGTATGTCTTTAAAAATGCGAGCAGTTTCCCAGGTCTTGGGACGCAACCTTGGATTGGCAACAATTATTTATATGAGTGCTAGGCACTGATTTTGGAGTCCTGGTGTGGCGCTGTGGGTTAATGCGCAGGACTACAAAGTCGTTTGAACTGCAAGGTGAGCGGTTCAAGCTCAACAGCCGCTCCTAGGAAACCCTATTATAGGGTCACTATGGGTCCCAACCGACTTGAAGGCGCTTAGCAACAACAGGTACTAATAGAGGTTTGTTGTTTTGGGTCTTGGTTACAGATATCCTAGGCTTTCTTAACACTGTACTATAATCAAGAGTCCTGGTGCGGCTATGTAGGATAAGCATTGGACTGCTAACCACAAGGTCGGCGGTTCAAACCAACCAGCTGCTCCTTGGAAAGCCTATGTTGTTGTTATGTGCTGTAGAGTTGGTCCCAACCGTATAGGGTTTCCAAGGCTTTAAATCTTCATAAGAATAGAAAGCCTCATCTTTCTGCCTGGAGTGGCTGATGGTCTCGAACTGCCTTATATAGGGTCACTATGAATCAGAACCAACTCAAAGGCACTTAACAATAACAAAGGAAACACTGACTCAATTCTTGTAGAGGCCTTGTAGGAGAGATACTGCAGAGGCAAGCGGAGCAAGCACTTAACCTTCCATCTAGTTGTTGTTGTTAAGTGCCATCGAGACAGTTCAAACCCATAGGGACCCTGAACAGAGTTTCCCAGGCTGTAAATCTTTACAGGAGCAGAAAGCCTCATCCTTCTCCCGTGGAGCAGCTGGTAGTTTCAAACTGCTGACCTTGGGGTTCGCAGCCTGATTCGTAACCACTATACTACCAGAGCTCCATCTAGTATGCACCCCCAAAGTGGAGCAAGGTCCTTCTTTTACTTATCTCTAGGTGATAATAGAGAGTCATTCTTGGCAGACAAGTGAAACAGATGGAGCTGACCATTTTGGGATATAAGGTGGAGCGTCAAGTCCACTACAGATTAGTTGCTTTTATGTTAGGTCATTCATTGCTTCTACTCTTTGTTGTTGTTAAGTGCCATCCAACCCATAGTGACCCTGTATAGGGTTTCCAAGTAGTGACTGGTGAGCTTGAACTGCTGACCTTGCTGTTCAAACTGACTTTACAGTCGAGTGCATTAGCGCACAGTGCCATTTTATACTAAATGGAGTTATTATCCATTTATTGTTTGTATTGTTTGAAATAAACCTGTGCTGGAAGAAGTACAGCCAGAAAGCTCCTTAGAATCCAGGATAGGCAGACTTCGTCTCTCATACTTCGGATATATTGTTAGGAGGGACCAATCCCTGGAGAAACATTATGTTTGGTCAAGTAGAGGGTTAGTGAAAAAGAGGAAGACCCCCCCAAGGAGATGAATTGGCACAGTGGCAGCACCAATGGGCTTAAGCATAACAATGATTGTCAGGTTGGCCAAAGTCAGTGTTTCATTCTGTTTTGCAAAAGGTAGCTATGAGTATTGACTGGATGGCCTCTAATAACAACAATAACAGCAAGTGTTTGAAACCTCTGGGTGGTGCAAATGGTTAATGCCTTCCATTGTTAATTGAAAGGTTGGGGGTTCATGTTCACCCAGAGGATCCCTGGAAGAAAAGCCTGAAGATCTATTTCTGAAAAATGAGCCTTTGACGCCCTATGGAGCACAATTCTACTTGACCTACCTAGGCAGTTGTGAGTTAGGATTGACTTGAAAGCAAATGGCTAAGTGGATGTTTGCCTTGAGACATATAAAAATTACTTCCCTTTGCCTTGGTGGTACAGCTGTTAAGTACTTGACAGCAAAGTGAAAGGTTTGAACTACCAGTCCCTTAGCAGAAGAAAGAAGTGAAAAGTCTTACAGATTACAGCCTTGGAAACCCTGTGGAGCAGTTCTAATCTCCTATATGACCACTATGAGTCGGAATTGACTTAATAGCAACCAGTTTGTTTTGGCTTTCTTTTTACCCTTCAACCCCTCCCTCACCATGTCACCCTTCCTAGCCCCTGCTGCTATATCAAAGACAACATTTGGCCTCTGGATGGCACTAGATGAACAGCTTCCAGGGTGAATTCAATATGGGTTCCTGAACTCATATTGATGATGAAGAAGGACCCTTAGATGGGGTTTTGTCTTCAGGGTTTGAGAGCTGTTTGGGTAATGTGGTGACCCAGCCTTGAGTAGCCAGGTGCTAAAAGCAAGTGCTCTCTGGAGATTTGAACCAAACATGGGATTCTCTCCTCCTGTGTGAGGGGGGTGGGGCAGCTAGGGGGCAGCGTTTCCCTCTTGGTTTCCTTTAGCTGGTTCTTGAGTCTGAAGCAAAGACTGTTCCACGTCTTGCTATTTATCAACTCTGTAAGATTTGGTAGCGTAATCGTTATGAGTAAGGATGCTAATCTCAAGGTCAGCAGTTTAAAACTACCAGCCGGTCCACGGGAGAAGGATGAGGCTTTCTGCTTCTGTAAAGATTTGCAGTTTTGGAAACTCGAAACAGGGTGGCTATGACGCTGAGCCAACTCCACAGCACACCACCACCATAAGATATTCTAGCTTTGGTGCCCAAACCTGACCTAAATAAAAGTTTGCAGGGAACTTGAGAGCACAAAAGAGCCTTGGAAGCGACATTTTCCAAACCCACTTTTAATAATAAGACGTCACTGGTGGGCTTTTTGCTGTAGATTCTAGCATAACCTGGGGTAGAAGCTAAATTCTCTAACTTCCAGCCTAACATTATTTTTTACTACTCCAAACAGTTTCCTATATTTTAAAGAAAATTTGAATTATGAAAAAATCCTTGGGCTTTTCTTTCCTTTTTTTTTTTTTTTTTAGGTTTTAAAGGAGAAAATTGGAGGTATTCAAGGTTGTGAAATCTTTTTTTATTAAATCTTTTTTTAATGTTACTGAAATTTCTACTGGATTTCTTCTTTACGGCATGTCAATTTTGCAAACTAGAGTTTCAGACCGGGGCTGAGCATGTGCTCCTCCTATGTGTCAGAACTTGGGGTGTCCTCTGTTTTGGGTGTCTTTATGGGGATTATTGGAACTGAAGTATAGTTTGGTTTTGTCTGCTCAAGTCTGAACCTGAAGGCGTGCATCTCTATTGGCCGACTATAGCATCTTAGAAATAATCATTTATTCCACAATATTGGGGGGATTGTTGCTCGGCTTGTTTTCTCTAGTGACTAGGATCAGCATTTTTTTTTTTTTTTTCATTTAAAATGCAGAGGCACTGACTGAACAAACCCAACACTGCTATTTCACACTCGTGGAATTTAACAGGACATATACACATCAGTTATTCAAGAACATGTCTGCAAGATGCCACAGTAACCAAGTGAAAAGTAAAAAACTCAGACAACCAAGCAAGTATTTTATCTACAAATGCTCAACAGACATTTGTCTCATTTAAAACCAAACCAAATGGTTATTTCATTGAACAGATTAAATTAACTTGGTGTTCTATGTGGCTGCAAAGAGACATGGATGATTATATTAATATTTTCCATTAAGAAGGACTTCCCCCCATTATATAAAGTGATGTGCAGTTAGCCAGTTTTCCTTCAAAAGTGACTCTCTGGGAAGAATAAAATTAAATAGAGAAAGAACCGAGCTTCCCTTTGCTAGATTCTCATTTCCCCCAGAATTCTGTGACTCAACATAGAATCCTGGTACAACAGCTTTCAAGGCTCCTTCATAGAACCTGTCATGGGTGCACCCTTCCTGCCATCGGAGCT